ATATAGTAAGTTATTCTATAGTTATTACTAGTATAAGTCTTATAGTACCTAATAAGAATGCACTCCTAGAGCTGTGTTCTTATCTTATAAGTAGGTATATATCCTACTAAGAGAGGGAGTCCTATACCTTAATTAGTTATAGTCTTTTAGTATATTACTAAAGGTATATACTAAAAGGATCCTTATGTGGTTGGTTTATAATAATTATATTATATTATAATATATATTAATAAATAAAAAATAAAAAATATAAACTTTATAAAAAACTATAACTACTACTAGTACTAGAATAGCTATAGGAATTAGTTACTTTTAATTATATTACTAATTTACCCTTATTTATTAAACCTTTTATAAAGGTTAAATATAATAATATATTTATATTAGTTTATTACTTATTAAAGTAAATATACTTTATATTATATAATAAATTATATATAATAAAAGAACTTACTTATACTTATATAAGAATAATTACTATAAAATATAAATTACTAAAAGAAATAATATTAAATAAAAAATAAATATTTACTTTTAAATTTTAGTAAAAACTAATAGCTAAATTAAAAATAAACTATAAACTAAGTATTATATATTATTTTTAAATAAATAAATAAATAGAATATATTAACTAGATTATTAAAGTTTACTTATACTATTATATTAACTTTATATAAAATAATTAGGTAGAAAAACTACTAGTAGCTTAATTATACTATAATAGTATACCCTTAAAATCTATAGGGATTATATTCTTTTATACTAACTATAGATTTACACTAGAAGCATTTAAACTATTATAAGATAAACTTAATTTTAAAAAAGCTTAATTTATAATAGAAATAATAATTAATTTATATTAAAAAATATATAAATAACTTAAACTTATTTAAAATAAAATAAAAAAATATATAAATTAAAATAAAATTATAGGACTAATTCTTTAAAAGGGAGATATAATTTATATACTATAATACTTATAAGGCTATAAACTATTAAATATTAAAATAAATAAGCTAAGTAATAAACTTAATATTAGAAAAATAAAATTTTATAAAATTCTTAAATAAATTAAAAAAGTAAATTATAAGTTAGCCCTATTAAATATAATAAAACTTTAAATTTTAGTATTTTATATATTATAACTTAAAAAAGTATAAGTTAATAAGAATACTAAAAGACCTATTTTAAATAAAATTATTATTAAAGATTAAAAAAAGGAATATAAAATTAAAAATATACTTATTATATACTAGAACTTTAATATAAATAATATTAAGTACCTTATTAAATAAATAAAATACTTTAACCTAGAAAACTTATAGGAACTAGTAAAATACTTTAACTTTTAGGAGCTAATAAAAAAGTTTTTTTATTTTATAGGATTAATAAACTAAAATTAAATAATATAGTATTTTAATTAATCTTATTAATATTATTATTAAGTTATATATTAGCTATAACCCTTAACTTAATATACTTAATATTATTTAATTTATTAAGTAATTAAGCACTTTTATAAAGTATTTATTTACCTTATATATTTATTTACTAATACTATTTATAAAAATATAATAATTATATAAAACTTTTATTTATTAACTAAAATAATAATATTAACTATTATTAAAACTTTATTAGCTTTTATTATTACTAAAGTAATTTTTACTTAGCTTAATACTTTTTAATATTTAACCTTTTCTTCTTAAATACTAGATATTAAACTAAAAAAAGTTAAAAAAATTTACTTATTTTAAAAATTATAAATTTATTAGCTATTAAAGAAATACTATTTTTATTATATATTTAACCTTTATAAGTATACTTTAAATACTTTTAATACCTTAGTGCTATCTTATATAATAAACTATAGGTATTATAAAAAGAATAAGGTATAATAAGAAAACTAATAGTGTTAATTACTATTATAGCTATTTTATAGTAGTTAATTAAACTTTTTTATACTATAAGATAATACTTTAAAATACTATAAGATATTATAATAAGAAGAAAAAAAGTTACTTATTGCACTAAAAAAGAAGAACTATAGACCTTATATACTATTATAGCCTTAAGGATAAGATTAATAAAAAAGGGGTATTATATTATAAACTAATTATATAAGGATTCTTTTAGTATATACCTTTAGTATTACACTAAAAGGCTATAACTAATTAGGGTATAGGATTCCCTCTTTTAGTAGGATATATACCTACTTATAAGATAAGAATATAGCTCTAGGAATATATTCTTATTAGGTACTATAAGACTTATACTAGTAATAACTATAGAATAACTTACTATATAAGAACTATTTATTACACTTATTAAATAGAACTTAAATAGTTTATTATTAATATAGCACTTTTAGATAATAATTAGATTAGTTATTTATAACCTTATTAGCTATGTGATTATATTACTTATTAGATCTCTTGTATCTCTTTACTAATATAAACCAACGCCTTAGCTTACAGATTAGGAACCTACCTTATACCTAAGCACAATAGTATAGGTCAGGACGTCACACGAGGTCGAGGTTGTTTTGTGGTCTGTATCATGGACTGTGGTGATGCAGACCTTTGATGAAATGTGATAGCATGTAAGCAAGTTCGTTATATTGTTGTCTACCAACTTGAACATATAAACCGTTGATTCAACACATCCTGATGCAGTGTATGAACATCCTGCATCTCCTTCTGCGGGCCGCAATCCCCACTACATAGCTCCCGCCCAAGATCTAAGATGCTTGCCTCAAGACGGGACACAACGTAGTAGATGCCACACTGGTCGGACGGTCCTGGCAACCTGATCATATTATCCATCTCGTTCTGGACTACAGGATCCTCGCGATGTGGGGGATACACGTATTAGGTGGCACGGCCCCATAAGATCTGGTTGGGATCGTAAGGCGTCATTTGAGGCGGAGATTGAGCACAAAACCTTCCATTCCCGGCTCTTTGGTACTAGCAGCTGAGTTTCCATTATGGTAAGGAGCTGAAACAAGAGCACATTGTACCAAATACGCCGGATGTTCTCTACTTTAGCCTTTGTATATGGTTTGGATTCGCCGTGTATCGAACTAAGTATATAGAGCACTAGAGGCAGTTCTGGATCAGCAAGGCGTTTATTACTTCCAAGCCGCTGAGCTATTCTGGTGTACTAGCGTTCTTCCAGATTTAGATGCTCATATTGATACAAGTGTTATACACTATCCAAAGGAAAGACAGTACCCTGAATGGCGAGTTTTATAAGAATCAGTAAGTTGACCACGATGGTCTGAATTGAAAGTATCATTCGCGGAGTTGCCGAAAATGAAGATTTTTAACATGCTAACAATGGCAAGTCCAACTTATAATATAAAGCCCCTAAGTTGCCAACATCAAATTGTGAACGACTTTCTTCTCACTATCATTCAGAGTATGGTGGCAGGGATTCAGTAGATACCGAGTGACTACATTTTCATCTACTGTAGCCTATACGAAACCCCAATAATCACCATAAAGCTGAGTACTTCTTCGTCGGTCCACTAGTTCTTACACCCATGCTTAGAATCATGGAATAAAAACATCAACTAGAGTATTTTGTTATACAAGTTATCACCGTACATGAAGCCCAAGTCAATACGATGTGGATAAATGCTTGGATTATGGGTAGAAATCTGGATGCATGGAAACCATGGTAGAGACCCTCTTCAATACACTTCTATCCCTTCAACCCAATCGCTCTCGGACCATAGTCTTCATGCGTTATCCAGGCACTTTCATTCCAATACTCAAACTTGATCCCCCTCCACTAAGTCCATGGTTTATGTGTATTGGTCTACACGGTCAGCCTATGATGTGTTTCTTATTTCGAAGCAGTCTGAGAGCAACATACAAGATGAATTTAGCAGCTTCCACCAAGTTTGCCGCCCACACTGCAGCCAACAGGGCCGCAGCTCCATACGTAGCAAGAGCCACTGATGCAGATATCTCCAGCAGAACAGCCACGCTTGGCAAGAGTAGGCTCTTCGATGTTGGTGGGTGCAGCAAAGGCAGCAGCAACAAGAGCGAGGAGGACGGCGGCGGTCTTCATTGTGATGGTTTGGGTGGTCGAAAAGGTTGAAAGGTAATTTTTGGTGAATGGTTTGTTCTTGAGATGTATGCGAGAGTGATGAGGATAAGAGGACTCATGATACGACCTTGGACCTGATATTTATACTTTTCTTCCACTGAATACCAGGTCACTATATCGTATTCCCATGGTAGATGCACACTTTCAATAATGTATGCCAACCCATGCAAGTGGATATCAAGAGATGCAAGTTTCAAAAAACGAAATACGCATACGACGCCAAAATAGGCGCATCTTGTTCATTGACCAGGTGTGGATGCTACAGTGTGTATGAGTGGAGCTGCGTGCTCCTTATTTCCCCAGCCTTTGTGTCTTCTATGACCGCTTGCTATGCTTTGTGTATATTATTCAGAGCTAATGCATGTGGATTTAGGCTTATTCAAAGATTCTCTGTGCGTTTAATATATTTTCTAAAGATTTTGTTTTAGATCGAGTAAATACTACCGTAAAAAGCAATATCCAGGGGCAATACTTGATGAAAAGTGCTACGCCAAAGCGGTGTTTCAAATCTAGTGTGTTTTTTTACGTATCTCTAGACTAATTTCATAGCATAAACGGTGGCAACTAAATACAGTGATTTCCGAATACTCTTTTGACAAATTGCTGAGAGCGTAGCTTCTCAACACGAAGCGTCTAGTGTGGAAGATGATGATACTCATATGTCACATGGAGTCGTATAGGAGAGAACGTCGATTCCATGGCACATACCGCTCGATTTAGCGTGTAATCAGTCAATTACGATACATTTGATCAAGATATGGATAACATTGCCACAAGCAGCATGCAAAATAATCGGGACCGAGAGTGACTGAGAGTGAATAAGCGCATACAGTAAGACACCGCAGAGTACAAACAACTACACGGAAAATCTATTGCCGCTTACTTATAGTATTGCTTTTCCTAGTAGTAGCCTGTATGCCGATTATTTCCCCAGTCCCGGTCTTTTGCAAGCTGTCTCGGAAGTCGGTATACTTCAGGCTATAACCGTACACCCGGTAACATGCAGCATAGTAAGCTGATGCAGACCCTTTCGTCAGAATCGGACCTTATAGCTCCACATGTCGACTACTGGTTTTAGCTAGATCGTGGACAGAAAGCGATGTGACGGAGTAATAGACCCTCATACACTCTACCAAGAGGGTCTGTCCTAGTATTTTCTTTTGTCACCTTATTGCTGTAAAAGGTAGGGCAAACGAGATGTCTCTATATATTGATCTACGGATAAATTGCTCCTCTCCAGCCAGTCTAGTTAGATAATAGTAACGATGAGAAGGGTTCTGAGGGTTATTATAGGCCTCCATCACTCATTGAGATCTACTAGGTGAGGTCCCATTAGTCAAGTCTGCCTCTGTGTTAGCCGACAGCGGTAGTCGCCAAACACAGGTAAACGTGCATGGAGTCAAAGGGGATCCCCGCGTAAGATATAGGAGAAGCAGGGGTACGTAAAAGCGTGTAGTGCATAGCTTATTTGAGCTTGGGTGTTGTATTCTTGAATGTCATGATAAAAAGTATGCATTGAACAAGAAAGAGCGGTGATGTAATATACTTAGTCATATAAACCAACGTTCTTCGTTTACGTATCCATTACCATCTTTCTGCCTTGAAATCCTTGTAGCATTCCCCCAAATCTAACATTGACATCCGAGTGAGCTATCATCGCGGGTATCCGGGCACCAAACCCCGCTTGTAATCCTTGTCGCAGGCACCTTGTCAGCATTTCCGCACTATTTGTCGATTTGGCCCCCGTTTTAGTGACAATATGGGGAGATTCCTGTTCAAGTGAGCTACTGTACGAACCGTTGAGGCTGCAACCCCGCCGAATCTCCAATATCGGGTGGTCGGCTACTTACCCCAGGGGGTCGATATCAGCACTACGGCGTAATATCTCTCGAGTACGGAGTATCTTCTCCTGGTCACGGAGTAGACTAACGGAGTATCTCTTCTCTCACTTTCCTAAAGCAATACGTCTGAGCCAAGGAGCCTGGATAGTATATTCCAGTCACGCTAGCAAGCCTATATCAAGCAAAAGGTCTATGCTTCATGCATAATACAGCTGCAGAGCTTGGTAATAAAGAGGGGAAATAATACTTATAAAAGCTCTGAAATAGAATTGTAGTCCTAATTCTAATCATATCCTTACCAAATGACTAATGGAACACTGGTTATTAGGCGTATGGCTAAAAACAATTGCTCTCTTCTACATGAATTGTTTAGTTGTTTTATTTTCGACCCTTTGCATTAGTTCTAAATATAAACTACAGCTCTCCCAAATCGTCTCCGAAATCGAAATTTAGGCAGAAAGGGTTTCACTGGCTAATTTAGCCCCTTGGACGCGATTTGCAATCTTTTGAAAGGCAATGTCCCTAGCAAAGTCCGGACTGCCATGACTTGGCTTGAGGTCGATGGAGAATGGAGAGAATCCTTTTCGTAATGTATTCGTCAGTCACGTCTCGTCTCGAAATACGAGTCAAATCAAAGGTATCTTACCACAATCATCTGTTGCCCCGAGCTGATCTGGCGGGATGTATTTGCTGGCAAGTATCAAATGGTCGGCAATTTCTTCTGGCGTCTCAACTCTTGGGTTGAGAGTGTTAATGACTCCAATGAAGGCGACCTGATTTCGATGTATTAGCACTCGTAGATTGCCGGGCTTACACATTATAGACTATGATCGATACCTGTTTGACACCACCGGCATCTTTGCGGATATGCTGTCCAATGGTTCTGTATATTTCCTCACGATCCTTCTCCGAAGAGAGCTGGATCAAGAAGTACCCTGCATTGATATGAAACAGAGATGGCAGTAGCTTGTGATAGTCGACATCTAGTGAGTGCACAGAATCGCAATCGCCGCCAGGACATGTGTGTAGGCCAATATTAATTCGTTCTTTGGGGCTGAAGCGGTCAAGGACCCTGTGTATATCTTAGCAATACTTTTACAGGCCTATTACACTGTTTGTACGTACTGATTAATCAACAAGATGAATCTCTCGAGAAGCTCGGCGTTTGTCCAAGGATTTCTGGGGTCGTTCTTTAAAGCGAGGCGGCCTTCTGTGAAGTCAACTGAGACTCTCTTGGCACCTGTTTCGAAACATCCTCGAATGTCTTTTTCGCACTGCACCGCAAATCAGCCAGTACATCACTATAAAGTTAGCACTACAACTTACTTCATCAATTAAATCTTTAATAAACTCTACTCGAGGGTAGCCTTCTAGTTCCCCCTGAAGAGGGTATAAGAGGTACATCATACTCGGCGCAATGACAGCTTGCTTCATAGGATGCGAGGCGTAGGGCATTGACTTTTGGAGATTTTGAGACGCATATGTCGCGTATCTGATTCATGAGGTAGAGAGTCTGTGTTAGCACTGTTTTTCTCTCAGCGATTTGAGAAGAGTCGTACTTGAAAGGCCCTTTGACCAGGCGTGGAAGCTGGCGGTGATGACCATCAGCAAAATTCGCCTGTTAATGTAGGTTAGCATTTAGTGGTTTTCAATTGCTCCAAAGACAACATACAAACAACTGGCCATCCGCTGCAAAATTGTCAGGAAGCCCAGTGCCCTTGAGAGTCCTGAAAACATGTATCGTGAGACTTTTATCATGTAAGTGATTTTAGTTATTATCCGCGATAACTCACTCGATTATTGGATAGGTTGCAAAGCTAGAATCTCATGTTAACTTTCCAAGAAAGATTAAACAGCCGTATAGTTGTGTCTATACTTACGAACTGGAGCGTTGCTCTCCGTCGGTTACATAAGTCTCTCCCGCCGCCTCCATTCTCTCAACCGAATCTTTCGCAGCCTTATCCTGAGCAGCCACAAGGTCATTGTGGGTGATGAGTCCAGCATCGTAGTCAGCAAAGGCCTTTTGTAAATCTGCTCCTTTTTAGTCTTAGTTCAACTCATAGTGGACACTGAATATTCATTGCCTTACAGATGGGACGAGGCAGCGAGCCCACTACTTCAGTTGGGATAATCATTTTGTGGTAACTCTGGTTGCACCTTGAAGTCTTTTGGAAGTGGTTTAACTTTTAGGTATGAATACTAAAGATAAATAAAAGAGAAGAGTGAGTGAGAATTGGAAGAATTACGACTTTTTATGATCAAGTTGGCAGAGAAGTTGATTTAACCCCGCATCAGCAACGTCAGAACCTTGCAACGTAGCGACACATCATAGGCTTGGTACGTTGCCCAGGTGCATTAGTTGTCAGTTATGGATCCAAAATATTTGACCCGGAAAGGCGTTATAGTTTGGGCTTAAGCACGAGTTTAGAACTCTAGTGGGTCAAGTTTACTTTGGCTGGTTGGCGGGAGATCTTCAGCTATGCCTTGCCTATATTGTGTAGGGAGTTTCAAGCGGGACCAGAAATTAGGCCATTAGCTGCGACATCTAGAATATAGTCTTAATGAGTCTGCGTTGATAGAAAGCTGTAGGAGGGCATCTATCAATACGTTATACGCAGTGTTGACTGTGACTTGCATTTTGTATTGCAAGACAGCAAAAAGTGTTCTATGGCTCGATATTTGCATAAAAAAACGTAATAGCTATATGCTATGATACCGTACGCTTTCTAATACTATTTCAGCCTTGAAACACCGGGGCTGAGTCAATTGACTACTGCACTGAGTATGTGGCTGAGACATTTGAACACTTGCAGCCTGCGAAATTGTAAACTCGTCAATCCTCGGAAATTACCAGTATTAGTGAACTTCTGGCGAAACAAGATTGGCATAGAGCGCTACCGGTACTTCGGCTTGAGCCTTGATTCAGAAGCTCCCGCAGGGCTCTGTCACGGTCTACGATTTTACAAAAAGGAACTGGGTGAGAACAGATGCTTTATTAAAGACTTAAAATGCCGTTGAGTGAATAAACAAATCTTTCAAAATTTGTCGTAATCATTGACGCTAAATCCTGACTGCCAGGGTGCAAAAAACATGGGCGGGGCGAGGCAGAGCCGCAGTCAGCCTGGCTATTTCATGAAGACTCATAAATAAGTTGATAAAGCCATATCTCCATCACCGAGACTGACATCTTCAACAAACCATCATATTCAAGCATCATGCTGCGGAATAGTCTCCATAATGGCGCACGGCGACTTCTTACAACGTCTGCAAGAAGGTCGAAAAGGGTGGACTTGGTGTGCCCAATCTGCTTCGACTTTGGCTTCACGCAATCTGCATTTCGCGGTTCTATCGAAGAGGATTCCTCGTCAAATTCTTCCAATTCCAGATCATCAAGTCCCCAGAATGATCAAAGCGGCAAGGGAGTTGTCAAAGACACGCCTAATAGTCCCCCGAAAACAACAGCTTCTGAGATATCTCATAATAGCGCAGTAAGGGCCAAAATGCGATCTGCCATGAACGAATTGACCAGCTCTGAGATTATGAGGCATAAATTCAACAAGAACATCGAAACCATCTACACTATGCCTATTGACAGCGACATAGTTGATACACGGGTTTATGAAATCCTCAGCGGCGAAAAGCCAGATATCAAGGAGAGCGGGTATGAAGAAGCGAAAGCATTTGTCAACGCTGAGCTCATCAAGAACAAGTCCATTCCATTCAATTACTGGCTTGAGCAGCCTTGCCCTGCGCATCGCGATACTAAAGGCGACGTTGCGCCCTGCGTAACCTTTAGACGCGGACTTCATGATTATATGATGGAAGCTAGCAATGGATATGCAGACCGCCAGCAGTTGATGCAAGACTTGGGGTTTGTCAACACGGGGGGGTATGCAGCATCTCAGTGTCTAAGAATCGGACATATGAGTGCTGGAGACATACCAACACTGGTTTGGTCTGTAGAGCCTTTTCTCAAAAATGGTATATCTTAAGAGTTCAATCATTGCTGCGGACACGGCTAACGCGTTTATACAGATATTCCATCGCCGTGGAGACAGCCTTGGTATCCGGACCGTGGAATGACCGTATTTGAACGACCAGCCATTTCTGGAAACACAGCATCCGAGCAAGCCTTCCAAAAGGCCACGAATTGGTTTCGTGAGTGCAACGATACACACTCGAGTTGCTCGCTTGGAGAGATTTCAGAATTGCCTGAGCGAGTTCTCGACATTTTTTCCGAAGATACCAAGTCTGGTGTCAAATTGATCCACACGAATGGACAAAAAGCACGATACGCTTGTCTAAGTCACCGCTGGGGAAAAGATACTTCCCGGACAACAGGAGAGAACATCAATTCCTTGTGCAAAGAGGTTCCATGGGACTACCTTTCACCCACATACCAAGACTCCATAACCTTTCTACGGAAATTTTCGAAATGGCATCAGGAGGAATATGGAGAGCTCATTCGCTACATTTGGATCGACAGTCTGTGCATCATACAAGATTCCAAGAGTGATTGGGCAAAACACTCACTCAAAATGAGCGACATATATTCCAATTCCCTCATTACTTTAGTGGAAAGCCACGAGCAAGGTACAGACAAACGGCTATTCCAAGACGCTTCCTCAAGAGATGTTTCGAAACCAGTTTCTATTCGAGATGCACAAGGCAACGACCATGAGCTACATTTCCGAAAACCAATCTTCCATCCCACTTATATGATCAGCGACGGCAGCATCCCCGTCTGGAAACGAGCATGGGTGTTCCAGGAACGCCTTCTCTCACACCGTCTTCTCATCTTCGGACCCGACGAGCTTTCATGGCAGTGTGCCAGCCACCACAAATGCGAATGTGGCCTCGACGAATCTGAATCACAGACCGTGAAGCTCATGAAGGAATGGGGCGATGATGTCCATGTGCCAGAACGCTCAGCCAGCAGTAGGAGAGACATGCAGCAACTTCTCGGCGACGATCCCTCTCACAGCCAGCTTCGCCGCGCATGGAGACACGTCATCGAGGCATATTCCCAGCTCGACTACACCTATCGCAGCGATACTCTCTACGCCATAGCAGGCCTGGCAAAGAGCTTCAACGCAAGACTAGGCGGCAAGAATTACTTTGCAGGGATCTGGTACGACGAATACCAAGAAGGCGAAACAGAAGATTTCCAGCCCCAAGCCGAAACCGCACTGGATCTGCTATGGAGACTGACGTACTTTAAAGATGCCGAGAGACCAGATTTGCCAGAGCCTGCTGTGCCCATCTCGTGGAGCTGGGCATATCCCGAGTGCGCAGTCACGTACCCCTTTGTAAACGATGAGGTGGTCAACCAATTCTCGCTGGTGGCTTCCATCGGCGGCGCTCTAAATGTTCCAAAATTGCCCGACGATCATGATCAGCCTCGGGACTGGGTAAAGGACGACATGTATGCAGAAGTGCCTCCTTCGGGGATGGTCATCGTCGGGCCAATCTGGAAAACGAAATTGACACCATCGGCGTTTTCATTTACGATAAGCAATACAGAGTATCCGGAATACACTTACTACCTGGGAGCCATGTCAGCCAGTATACTCCAAGAAAGCTCCGTCGGTCGAGAAATTGTGCAGAGGAGAATCCTCCTCATGCCTCCTATGGAAGAAGACGAAAGCGACGAGTCTGCGCTTCAGAAGATGCCGCCTCTAGTATTCTACCCGGATAGCATGCATTTCGCCATCACCGAGTCACTCTACTGCCTCCCCATAGCAACTTTCAAGCGCCTACCAATTAAGAGCACCGTCAAGGAAAAGACAGTCTTTACAGCCCTGGTGCTCGAAGCTGTGGGACACAAGGCAACTACCGAGGAATACGATCCGGATCTATCCAAAAAGGATGTTTCAGAGTTGGTGTTTCGAAGAATTGGGTTGGCATACACGACAGATGGCGGCTGGACGGACGAGCATGATGCACTTTTACAAAAGTGTCCTGTTAATGCTACGTATTTAGTACAGTAAATGGCTTAATAGGGACAATGGAGTTTCCAAAGAGGACTCTGTAGAAACAGTAGAAGCACAATAAACCAAATATATTCAAATTATACAATGGCAGTACTTATTATACAGATCTATAATACTGATATACAAAGAGACAACAAAGATTACACGCTACTCTGCTACTTAGACGAGCGAAACGTCAAAGCCATGATCCCTAACATCACCAATCAAACGCTCCAAAGGCTGGGCATACGTAACATCGTTGTTCCCATTCGGCATCGGGCAGTGTACTCCCGCCATGATAATCGCGGCAGGGCGCCCTGTCTGTATATCCCATACACAAGACCCCGAATCGCCCCTAAACGAAAACGCCGTTTGGAACTCGTGAATGCCGGTCAACGATGTTATAGCCCACTCCTCGCTGTAGCCCTCGACGCCTCCATCCAAAGCCCCATCGCGACGAACAAGCGATTTCAGGGCGTTGCCGATGCCTACCGTCAGCTTCCCGCCAGCTCCAGATTGCGCGACAAGCATCGTCGGCTCGTTGTCGTCAGCATCATGAGCGAGTTTGTATAGTTCGCTCATGGGAACGGCAGTCTTTGCTAGCGGCAGGGTGCCTTTCCGCGCCACTGGTACTCGCATCTTCCAGAGTCCTCTCCATCCCGTCATACTGTTGTGCACAATGCTCTGAAGACGGTTCGCTGGTCCGACAAAGACATTGTTCGTCAGTGTGCCGAGAGGAGCCTGGTGGCGGCTGGGCAACAGCTCGATCAGCGCCCAGTCTCTGAGCCATGGATCGTAACCTGGTGCCTCGCGCAGAGCTCGCGAATACCTCAGTGCCGGCGAGTAGAGGAGCGTTCCGAATCTTCTCGAGGGAGAGGCCGCATACGGCTTCATCTCCCTGAGAAGACATTCCGCGTCCTCTACTCTTTTGTATCTGGCGGCATCTCCATATCGCTCAAGTCTGCTGTCGTACTCGGGCTGGTCGATTTGGATGACTTCTCTGCGTGTCCGGGAATCTTGGCGCCTCGTCTTCGAACTCTCACTCTCGTGGTTTCTCACCACATGCTGACAAGTCAAGGCCACGATTTTAGGCTCGTCTTGGGCATTGGATGGCTTGAGAGAGAGGTATATGCCCTTTGTGCCAAACCTGGTGTCGTCGTCTTTCATCGATATCCTGGTGCCGAGGCAGTCGGACAAATCGACACGGTCTGCGCGCAGGTTCGTGCTCGAAGCCGAGGAAAGCTGGAATTCGCTTTGCACATCGGCAGCGGCGGCGGCAGATTTACCCCTCGAGAGGCTGTTGCCACATGAAGTGACAACGCTTTCGCGTATTTCGCAGTGGACGTTGTCGATGCCGTGTTCCTCCAGAATGCCCTTGCATCGCAGCGTGATGGGATGTGCCCGGCTCCAAGACAGAGACTCTGGCTTGACGGATACCAGCAGAGTCGTGCGGAACCCTCCAACCCGGCCGACGCGCAGGATATCAACTGCTGTCCAGTCTGCGGCGCTGACGGCTTCCACGATCTGGATTCTCAGGGAAGACGTCGCGTCGTTCCACAGACGGTGCAGTAACGGATCACCAGCGGCAGGCCGGAGGGATTTGCGCATCAGGGAGGGAGGGCATGTAGATGGACCGCCATCTGACCGACAGGGGTCTGTCCAGACGTGTTTGCTTGACCTAGCAATAAGCCTGGGGCAGGACGGAAGCCCCCAGTAATAGAGGACTGCCTCCTTGTCGCTTGGCGGGGACGGTGATTGCATGATCGAGTCGGTTGGTGTTGACGGGTAGTGCGTTTCGTGTAGAAGCTGTACAGATGGTAGCTGTAGAGATGGTAGAATCTGTAGAGAGGGTAGAATCTGTAGAGGGAATAAAAGCTCAATATATAGGTAGGTAGTAGGCACCATGACGAACATTTCCACTCTTGCGAGCAGAATTAAGTTTTCAATTCTATGGACTTTATACTTTCACATACGCATCTTGCCTTTCCACCATATACGCCATCCATAATCGTGTGGAGCTATAGTATTAGATTATACATGTAGTTGACATCGTGGAGCTGTTAGCCCCGAAGCGTTTGCTGGCAGGTCAAGACTTTGGCCGTATCAGTCGTCTACTTGCTCCGACGGGCGCCATCTCACCTCCAAAGCCTCTACACATCTTGAAGCTAGCACTACTACATACTCAGTACTTGATAGTACAAAGAAGAAAACCTTGCGGGTCCTCACTCTTTCTGGCCTTGTGGTTGAACTCCTTCAACGGCTTGGTGAGTCCGCACAGCTGCCTTGGTGGGAGGTGTGTTCTTGGCAAATCATTCCTCAAATTGCCGCATCGATAGGATGGTGGCTGTCATCCCAGACCGAATCAACTTCCAGGTAAATGCATCGAGAGGCTTCCATTCTTCGCCACGCCGTTTTGATAGGGTTCCATTCTCCGCCTCCTCTGCATCGACATCTAGCAGCCACGAGCGTAAGTTGGTGAAGTTTGAGGAGATTCGTTCATATTGAGTGGCGAGTAATGAATCTATTGTGTTCATGATACCTAAAGAACCAAGTTCGGCTCGGACGTGCAAGCACGAACAAACTAATATATGGTACATAGTAAAACTCTCATAGGCAAACTCTGATGTGGTTCCTTCCAACAGTTCATATTTGAATTCTAGAACGAGATGATGGCGACATGCGTACTTGCAAATTCGTTGGATGGTGAAACTGAGGCGTGCAGGCAAACCTGTGTAACAAGAAGATTCGAAGATGATTCTATTGAGTTACGCATAACTAGTAGAATGCGAATTTTCATCTGTGTGGATGAACTCCATAGTGTAAATCTCTTGTGTAAAGTAAAACTCTAATTGAGCGATAAATGAACATTCTGATGCGGTTCCTTCCAACAGTTGCAACGTTCTGGGCTGTAGCAACAAAGTTTCCAAGATTTGGCCGAAATCCCCCCCATGTACCCAGTATACGGAAATCGAACTGATCTTAGCAGCAGTAGCAGAAGTAGCAGAAGTAGCAGAAGTAGCAGAAGTAGCAGAAGTAGCAGAAGTAGCAGCGGTACATGTAGCTTACTTTACACAGACTTTACATATCAATGCATTTTGCTCTCCCCCTATCTAGGCTGCATACGTACCGAGACGGCGAGAACGAAACAAACGAGAGCTAGGATACCAGAGGAAGCGATTAGCACTGATTACGAGCAACCTCTCATCCCGGAAGAATGCCCTGACATCAAGATCAAGGACGTTAAACTCACCGGAAAGAAGATAGGCGCGGTAGACCTCACAATGAGAACGTCCAACTACTATGTCGCAGCCCCATGTATCGCCGTTCACCAACGGCAGGTTACGTCTCTATAAAGAAGATTCAGATTTGATATTCCAAACGCGAGATTCTCTAGGGCAAAGAGCATCAAAACCGCCATGATGAGTCACATCCTCTACAGGGACTCCAAAGACGCCGACTACAAACTTGATCATTTGAGGTATGATCTTGCGGAGCTATCGTATTAGGTACCTAGATAGTACATGTAGTTGAATTCGTAGAGCAGTTAGCTCCGAAGCTTTTGCGATGCTTGATCTAGGAGCATGCACTCGCTGAGAGAGTAGTCCGCCTCGTAGTGGAGTTTTCCTTGATGAATTCGGTGCTTCAACACCCTTCTGTTGATGATTCTCTTTCTTTCCTTTTCCAGCGCTTCTCACAGGCAGGTAACGACATCTCAGTACCACTCGGGCAGATCAAGACTATGCTCACGTCACTCCCTCTACCAACTCCGACGGGCACTGCCGTAAATTTAATGTCTCTGTACAAACCAACCAGAGCAACCTGCTTTTACGATTCAACCGGTTATCCAAGAACGAGATGAACAAGATTTGCCCTTGCACGTATGTGCAAGCCGGATCCAGACCTACAACAATCGCCCATCTGCGTTTGGCGCATATGAATCTATAAAAAGTGGAACTGTTGGGAGCGAGGTAGACCACTAACAAAGTGTATTTGACAGCTTAGAACATTTTCAAATAGCATCATGGAATCTCAATAGGTACTGCTCCATAATTACAAGATAATAGGACCATTTGTGCTCCGAAACTTTTAGTTTTCATGGCGTTGACGTGTGCGGATATTTAAGCGCCCAGCTGTGTGGCTCGGCTTATACGCGCCAGACTTGCATGAGCCGAAACAAGGAGCCATCTCGCGATTGGAGCGTTAACGCGCAAGGCTGATACAACACGGGGATTTTTGTTATAACCAGATATATATATATATATTTAAATATTTGTATATAAGAGGCGGTATTGATGCTCCTGCTCTCCCAAGGGCAAAACCAGATCATTTTCAAATCCTGCATCTAATATCACGCTTCTCCGTCTTACAAAACGGCTAATCATCAATCTATTTCTATTTGCCGCATTAAAAGACATGGCATCGAAAGAAACCTTTACTGTGGGGTGGATCTGTGCCATCCAACCAGTATACGAGGCAGCTTGTGCGATGCTAGATGAAGACCTTGCAGGTCCAGAATTAGCAGAACACAATGACAGCAACACATATTTCTTTGGCAGAATCGGCAAACATTGCATAGTGATTGGCTGCCTCCCGTCCGGCCATAGAGGTACAACTCCGGCCACTCGTCTTGCCAAAGATATGATGCGATCTTTTCCCCAGCTAAGATTCCTGTTGATGGTGGGCACGGCAGGGGGTGTACCAACAACGACGCGGGACATCCGCCTCGGTGACGTTGTCGTCAGCCAGCCAAACAAAGTCTCTGGAGGCGTCTTTCAGCATGATTTGGGACACCAATATAACAGTTTTTGGCACACCGGACACCTGAATGCTCCGCCGCCAGTGTTACTCAACGCACTGCCCGAAGTAAAGCGAAGGCACAACAATCCGGCTAAATATGGAGGAATTGACCAACATTTGCAGCTTCTGAGCGAAGACGCACGATTCCAGCGGCCAGAAAACGATTATTTATTCAAAAAAGATGTTGATCATAACATCTTCGGTTACAAGGATTGCTCAAAGTGCGACATGAACGGCCTCGTTACGCGTCAGCTACGAAACTTGAAGAGAGCTGCCAACGTTTTTTACGGCACTGTGGCATCCGGAAGCACGATTATGAAAGAAGCTAAGGAAAGAGATTGCATCAATGATGATGAAGAAAATAGGGGCGTGCTCTGTTATGAAATGGAGTCTGCAGGCCTCATGAACGACTTTCCATGTATCGCGATACGAGGGATAAGCAACTATGCAGACTCTCACAAGAATGACGAATGGGATTACTACGCAAGTGCAACTGCGGCGGCTTATGCCAAAGAGCTCCTCTTGGTAGTGAAGCCCATGAAGGCGAAGCCTCTTTTAACGGATACCACGAGTAAGAGCCTATTCTAATCCCCACCAGATACATCATTTCTTTTATACTCAAACAGAGGCGTAGTTGCCGAAATCGCGGCCAGCATCCGTCACAGAATTGACTCGGGAATCATCATTGACGAAGCAGCGCTGGTGGAACTGCTTCAGCAACCACGGGCTAACGAGATGTTGTGCCATGAGAGTAATAGCCAAGGCAGCGAAACGGTCATGGACTCCATCAACTCGTTTGACTCGACACCAACAGTCATATTGGTGAAACAACTGAAGTGAAGACTCTAATTCTAGAAGGATTAAGAAGGAGGAATTTGTACCGTATTGTTTCCATAGACTTGGATAAATCATGAGAGCTGGATTATTGGATAATACAATTCGAGGTGCCACCTCAACAAAGGCACGAAAGCTACCATCTACGAACCAGAGCAAATCTGGCATAGCAAGATCCGGGCTATCCAGCTTCAACTCTGATAACCTACCGCCGCACTGGGTTAGCAACATGTAGCGCGCCACGGCGTCATCAAAGTCTGCAAACCCACGCAAGAAAGACTTCACCTTCCCAGCCAAAGTTGCGGCTGAATCATTAATTTTGGGATAGAGGCTTTGGGGCTTGACTGGTGGCTGGGAGTTTAAGACGTGGACACGCGACACAAGTCAAGCTATAGCAGACACGAAGAGAAGAGCGGTAGATGGTCATGACGATCACTTATAGCCCGTAAGACCACATCACATATTTAGATCTGTCTCAATCCATAAACAAGAGCTGTATCCATAAACAAGAGCTCACACACGCTACTCGATATACCCCAAATCCCGAAACGCCCTCTGCAAAATCTCCGCCACAACCCCGTCCTTGCGCTTCCCATACCCATTCACATCCTCACCCTCCCTCCGCGCCGCCTCCGCCGCCTCCCTCTTGACCTTTGCATACAACTCCCTATCCTCAGGCGTCTTCCTCAACCAGTCCCTAAAAATCTTGTGCCGCACCGCCTCAGGGCAATCCGGCCCATAAACATGCAAATTAGCCACGGGCTCATACGCAACCAGAAAGCGGTGCTGGTGCCACTTTGGCTCGCGGAACAGGAAATCAAAGCCCGCGGCCTGCAGCTGCGGCACGTAGGAATCCTCGTCGAGCACGTCCTTGACAGTGAGGTCAATATCGATGAGGTCCTTTGCGGGCAGGCCGGGCACGCTGGTGGATCCGATGTGGGAGATTTCGACAATGGTCGGGCCGAGGGCGGAGACGATGCGGTCCTTGAGCAGCTCGTAGGACTGCGGCCAGAGCGGGTTGGGGTCGGCGATTTCAAGCTTGTTCTTGACGCGGCGGAAGGCGATGCGCTCGGCGTCGTTGGGGTCGAAGTGGTGGGTTTTGATGATGTCTTGGACGGGGACGGGCATGATGGGCAGCTGAGAGATGAACAGTTGAATAACAATAGCAATTTACATTATGATAATCATATATATATATATATATATATTCCTATATTCCAATCCTAAACTATAGTTATCCCACGTTGCACAACATCACTCCTCCAAATCCATCCGATGAGTCACCGGCGAAAGCACCCAATCATGCACCCCCCTCAACACCAACACGCCCCGATTCCACCTCCACCCCAGCACCGGCACCATCGCGCCCACCACCACGTCCAGCACGAAATGGTTCGCCGTCGCCACCACCGTCACAAACATCACCGCCGGCCACAGCACTGCCATCCACCGCACCAGCACATGCGGGCTGAACCGCGCCAGGCACGCGGCGAACAGCACCGCCGTGCCAAAGTGCAGGCTCGGCATCGCCGCAATCGTCAGCCGGAACCGGTTGTTGGTCCACACCGAGCCCGGCTCCACGGCCGTGGGGTGCAGCACGTCCACGAAGCCGTACTCGGGCGGCAGCATGCGCGGCGGAGCTACCCGCCACAGCGACAGAATCACAAAGGCGATGAAATTGTCCATGGCAATGGTGCGGCGGATGCGGCGGTACACCGGCCGCGGCAGAAACGTGTAGGTGTAGATGATGAAGACGACGCCGACGATGATGTGCGAGTGGTAGACGTGCCGCAGCACCGGCATGATGCACGGGTGGTTCGTGAGCATGTTCGCCTGAAAGGCCTGCTCAAAGTCAATGTGCAGGAAGCGTTCGACGGCGAGCAGCTGCAGCGCGTGCTCCTCGGCGAGGGCGTAGATGTGCGGATAGGGGGCAATAGCACGGGCTGTAAAGGCACGGCTAAGCTGGTATATCCTGTAGAAATAAACATCAGCGCCAATCCGTTTTTCTTGTCGTTCATCTCGTAGAGGCAGCGAACCAATATGTCAAAAGCCAATACCAAATCTCCGGCAAAAACGGAAACGTCCCGAAAATCCACGACAGCCATCGAAACACGAGCAGATCCGAGCCGCTTCTCCCTCTCTTCTTCCTGCGCTCGGCTGACGAGACGTCAGCCCTCTTCTCGCCGGCTATGCATTCGGGTATGGATTCGATGTCACGTTGATGAGCATGTTGATGCGGTTTCAAGCGCCGCCGGTTAATCAGCGTTCCGGCTGTAAAGGCGAGGATGATGGCTATTGTTTGTTGTTGTGTCTTGTCAGTATCGTATAATGACTCAATTGTTTTGGAACGCTGCAACATTCGTAGCCTTGTTGTTCTTGACATACTCGCTGGTTCAATAACATCCTTGAAAAGTCCCATCGTCACACTTCTTCAAAACCTCAATTCATTAGAAAAGAGGAAAAGAAAAAAAGGGGGAGGCAAACAACTCCAAAAACCTTACATTCTCTCTCTTACATATATATATACCAAACTTACTAACTACCTACGTGATAAATGATAGGACAACCCGACATCAAAAGTAAAATGAATGACACATTCACATTGCCACACACCCCCGAATCTCTCTTCATACAACTCTAATTCAGATGCATTTCTTTTAACCTCTCCTTCCATTACCCCTTTGCCGCCCTCATCATCTCGGCAGCTACGGAACTATCATCGATGCCAAGACCTCGAGCCCACCTCCAACAGCAAATCAACTTGTCCAAAACTCCACAAGGCAAAGCAAAATCCAATAAATAAGCATCTATAATGTTTGCAACAAGATCAAATAGTTCAAAACAAGATCAATTATCCGCTTCTTCTTCAGAATACTCCTTCATCCATGCAGCCGAGGAATCAAATCATAAATCATCCCATCTCTCGGGTCAATAGGAGTGCCTAATCGCGAATAAATCTTCCCGACGCCCGCAGGAATACGTATCCACGCGACACAACACCGCTCACATCCTACAATTGCTCCGTGACGTGTGGCATTACGTATGCGGCACGACATATTAGACTTTTGCTCGCCCGTACTGTAGGTGCGGGTAGATAAGCAATCAGAAACTATAAAACCACAGCAGCTTAGCAACAAAAGACCATATACAGGAGGGTCACAACTCAAAAGAAGACAGATGTGCTATACTGTGAATTGAGATATTACACATGATATTCCCCAAGTCCATTTCCTCTTTACCTAAAATGTACAGTATTCGACATGAAAAAAAAAAAAAGTGTCCGCATCATGCAACTGGGCTTTTACGTTCGCGTACGCCAGGCAATAGATAAAATAAGCAAATAAAAAACCACTATGAAAAAACAAAAACAAAGCCATCGCTGCTGTTGTCTAGTAAAAGTTGGCCAAGATGTGTTGGGATGTTGATACAATCCACTCAAGCTTGCCTCTGTCGAGATTGGCCAGGAAGGGATCAGTAGGGAATCCATCCTGGATGCCAGCAATCAAAGGCTGCACGCGGGTAATAAGCAGCTGCATCGTTTGCGATGTGCTCTTCATCACCTCGCGAGACATGTCGTCATCCCAGTTCTATAGAAACATCAAAGTTAGCATCTGGCAATTGCATCCTAGGAACAAAGTCTACAAACAAAGGGATACTCACGTAGTTGGGCAAGCTGGCGCCAAACGACCTCACAGCCATCTCAATCCATTCAACCTCCTCCTTCAACCGCGGGTTCGGCTTCAAGTCCTTAGAAATGGTCGCAATCACAACCAGCAGCATCAGCGGCTGCAGGGAATCAAACTTGCCGGGAGGGTATCGGCTCAAGCAGCGCCGGAAGATCTCCGTCTCACGGCCGCTCTGGATCCACTGGATCATGGCGTCCTGCAGACGATTCTCCGCAATCGCCGTCTCAATCACTCGGATGCGCTGCACAAGGTCGTTGTCGGCCTCGGCCTCGGACTTGTTCATCTGACTGGCATAGGCACCGGCAAGCGCAGCCACGTTGTTGGCCGGGCCAACGTGGTCCGAGGGGGCGGCAGATCCATGGGGGCTTGCCACGTGCTGAGATCCGCGCATGTATTGAGGGCTTCCATACTGCTGGGGGTGGCTAGGAGCCTGGCTAGGAGCTTGGCTCGGTGGGAAGCTTGCGCGGTGGCTGGCCACAGTGTTAGCGTAGCCATGGGATCCGATGCTGTGAGCAACGCTGGCAGGGTGCGAAACATTGATGCCGCCACCGGCAGCAGTCACGACGGGAAGCTCAACAGGCTGTTGCTTAAATTTAAGGAACTCGGCCTGGAGCGATGACTGCGAGGCTGCCATGGTGGACACCATATCCGACAGCCGGGTAACATAAGACAGAAGCTGGTCTATCTTGTTGTTGTCCGCGGCATGCTGCGCCTTCAGCTGCTCAAACTGCTCATGGTACTGCTTGTGAATGTCAGTAGCCACGCGCTGAGCCGCCTGGGTAGCAATGTTGTTGAACGTGGGCGCCAAGCGTTGAGAAATCGTCGAGATGACCTCTTGCTGTACGCTGGTGGTAACCACAGTGCTGACTCTATCAGAGATGGCGTTGATGAAATCGTTGGATCGCAGCGAGCGGCTAACAGCATGGGGCAGAGCACTTTGGATCTCCTTCTGCACAGTCGAAGCCATGTTGACCTGAATCTTATTCTGGACCAAATCGGCCACGGCCTTGCTAGTCTTGTCGCCAATGGAAGGTATCACGACGTCAGTGAACTGCTGGTGGATCAAATTCTCGAGCACTTTCTGAGTGTTCTCGTTCAAGATGTCAGAAACCATGTCGAGCAGTTTCAGCTGGTGCTGGTTGAAGCTGTCGTCCCTGACGCGAGCGCTGTCGTTGATCTTGTTGTGCAAGTTATTCATCGAAGCCTTGAACGTGTCGGACACGGTAGCTCCAAGCCTCAATTCCAGGCTGCCAATGGCGGCGTCGAATGCCTCAGATGAGATGCCGCCAGCGACCAGGCCGCCGTTGATAGCGCTCTTGCTGGGAGGCGCAGCAGCCTCGCCCTTGTGCGATGATGCCGACCCATTGGCATTTGCCTCGGCATCCTTGCCCTTCTTCTTGCGCTGCCTGCGCTCAGATTTCTCGGGATGGTTTTCCTTAGATGACTGTCCCGGGGTCTCAATCTCTTTGGCGTCATTCTTGGGGGGCTTGGCAGGGGTGGTCACCTGCTGTTCGACGACCCGAGGAGTAGCTGCTGCTTCAGAAGAAGCGGCGGCCTGAGCAGGCGGCTGCAGAATCTCTCTTGTCGCGGATCGGGTGGCAATGCGCACTGGGGTGGTGTGCTCGGTGGTAGTGGTACCGTTGGTAACGTCCGTCTGAACTGGAGTCTTGAGCTTGGAGACGGTGACGACGCCCTCAATAACGGCATCGACAGGATCAAGCACCTTGTTATCCTTGGACCATCCCAGCTCAGCCTGCTTAATCATCAGACAAGCAACGCCCTTGGAATGCATGGCGTATAACTCAAACAACGTGGGCTCGTCGGTGTCCTGGACCATGGCGGGGGTAGCGAGAATATCCAGGCTGCGTAGAATGCCACGGTTGGCAAAGGAGTACTCTCGAACGCCGCTAATGACAGCAGTACTATCTGGCTGGGGAATAGAGGGGTCCTGGCTGACAAGCTTCTGGATGTACTCGGCCTGAGTTACGTTCCTCAGGTTATACTTAGGAGCCGAAAGATGCGCAAAGTAGACCGAGTTGCGAGTTGGGTGGCCGATGATGATCATGCCACTAGCCGGATGATACATGACGCTGCAAACGGCGTCCGACTCCTTGCTGTGAGGCAGGTTGAACTCTTGAACAGGCTTGCCCAGAGCGAGATCCCACAGCTGTAGAGTATGGTTTTGCTTCATGCCAACAATCATGTATCTCAGCGCACATCGCTTCTGGTAAGGGCGCTGCTTGTCGAGGAGCAATACAGATGTCGGCCAAGCTTTATCGCCCTCTGGAGTGCTAGCCAGAGTCATCAAAGGTTCCTTAATCTCCAAAGATGAGTGGGCGGGGGCGGGGTTGCGAGGATCCGAGCCCTCCTTGATGGCGGTGAGATCGCGAACGTCCCAGAACTTGACACGGCCAGACTTGTCCAGCGAGACAACAACAGAGTCGTCCTGGCTAAAGGTAAAGTCCTTACCAGCCTTGCCAGTGTTGATCTTGAGGGAGCATTGGTTCAGCAGTGCCTCGGTATCCGCGACGCGGTCGTGTCCGGGCTTGAAGAGACCATTCTGCAGGATAAAGGACGGCCAGATAAAGTGGATAGACTTGCCGCGGCCCACGGCGAAGAACTCGGGGTGGTTAGTAGAGGCTCGAGCGCGAGTCTTGAGGGCGCCGCCGGGAGCGTCGCCTTCCTGAGAGTTGATGGGAGGCAGTGCGAAGCCGTACTGCTCAAGATGAGGATCCTCGAGGTGATCCTTTTCACCATCCTTGATCTGGACCCAGTAGACGGTGCCGCTGATGCCAGTCGCGATGATGGCCTCCCGGGGAACGCCTTCGTAATCGTGCGGGGTGACAGACATGGCGACGTTGAAGATGCGGTCCTTGGTGTCTCTAAAAACCTTTGCGTCCTTGCCATCGTCTTGACGAATGACACGTAAGCCACCCTGTTTGGACATGCCGTGAGTCATGTAGGACTGAGAGGCAGTGTACAAGTTGCGATCGATCTGGTCAAAGTCCTTCTTGAGGTGAGCAACGTCCATGATTGACTCTTCGCGGAACTGAGGACGAGGCTCGGTGGTGTCCTCTTGAAGCGTGATGGAAATCCATGGCTTCATCGGGAAGTTGTAGACCCTGACAGAAGGAGTCTCCTTTTCCTCGATGACGACAATCTCATCTTGATCAGCGCTCTCCCAGCTGTCGGCGATTCCATGATTGTCAATATCTCTGGGCTCTGGAGCCTCTTCCTTGGAAAGATGCTCCTGGGAGGAGCCGTATCCGCGGTGCTCCTGATCAGATTTGATGTCATCAATTATGTGCTTCTCAATGGAGCGGGTAGCGTCAGAGTAGTTGGATGGCTGGACCCAGTCACTCTCATCATGAGGTCGGACGGTGGCACTGTCGGCATAGTTGGATGCGGTCTCACGCTCAGCCCTGTCCAAGGCCTCTTGGGCGTCGCGATCGGCTCTACCGGCGAGATCGTGGACGGCCTCGGAAACAGTCTCTCTGTTCTTGTCAATGTTGACGAAGCTACCAAAGTCAGAAGTCGTAGGCGTCTGCTTTATGGACTGCTGAGTGGAATGATGCGAGTGCTGAGAGTGATGCGAATGATGCGATTGATGAGAATGAAGAGATGAAGCTCGGTCAAGGCTGTGCCTAAACTGCTGGGGAGGGCTCTTCAGAGAGCTTCGCTCACTGCCGGCAAAGGGATTGGAGCCTGCCGGCGAGCTCTGATCCTTCTTCAAGATGTGGAACGCAGGCGGAGGGCCAGACCCATGGACGCTGCCGGTACTATGAGGCGACATCTGGTTCAATGTGCCCGCCAGCGCCTGGTACAGAACAGACACATCTGCGGGGTCCTTTGGCGTAGGAGAGAAGATGGGATTGGCGTTGGCAGTGCCGTGCCCGGCAAAGGCCTCGACCTGCTGCTGGTACAATTGCTGCGGGTGGTATGCGGTCGGGTGCTGCTGCTGCGAGTGTTGCTGCTGCGAGTGTTGCTGCTGCGAGTGTTGCTGCTGCGAGTGTTGCTGCTGCTGAGGCTGCTGCTGCTGAGGCTGCTGTGGGTGATGGCCATAGTAGCGGCTGCTCGTCTCTGACAGATGCTCCTGCGATTGTGGGGTGTGCTGGTTAGAGCGCGAAGACTCAACCAGCATCGGCTGGTCGGTCTGGCTAGGCTTGGGCCTGTTGAGGAGATTGAGAAGGTACGATCTGGTATCAGGCGGCGGCGTTCCGCTGGCAAAGGGATTCGCAGGCTGGGCCTGGACTTGGGGCGGCGTGGGAGCAGACTTGGGCTCGTCCATCTCGTGAGTGCCTTTCATAAGGGCAGCGAGCAGGCCCGTCGGATCGGCCGCCGTGGGGGCAGGCTGATGGATACGGGGCTGGAACTGGTGCGAGGAATGCATCTGGAGATGTTGGATACGCTGGTACTGCTCTTCGTCGTCTTCGTCGTCGACCTCATCGTCTTGCCTCTCAGGCTGCACCGACGACGGCTCTGGGTGCTGATGCTGGTGCTGGAGCTGGGAATGAGACTGGGAGGGGGACTCGGCCGCCTGCTGATGCTGCTGGGCGGATGATAAGGAAGCTGGCAGCGGAGCCTGAGCATGAGCCTGAGCTTGACCCTGGCCCTGACTCTGGCTCTGGTTCGACGCCTGCAGCAGGTCTTTGGAGCTGCCGGGGCCGCTAAACTTGAGCAGATTCAGCAGATTGGCAGTGCGTTCTGAATTGGGGCCGACGCCGCCAGACACGGGCGGAGTAGGTGCAGGAGGCAGATCCATGATGGGCGCGAGCTGCGAATTGAAGGCCGATCGAGCTATTCGATGCGGTGCGATGCAATGCTGATTTGGCTGCCGCTGCCGCGTGCGCGAGAGTTGGACGTGGAGGCAGGAGTGGAGCGACCCGACGCTGCGTGTCTGCCTCTGATTTCTCGGCTGGAGGGGGGTGAAGAATTGAGTTTTGTGGCGATTGCGGGGGAGGAGAGAAGATGGGGGGTGATGGCGAGGAAGGAAGATGAAGAGGGCGAGTTGGGACTCGGGAGATGTTTGTAGGCGCTTGGGTTTGAACGAAGTTTCGTGACAGGAGAGAAAAAAAACTTGGCACACAGTCAGGTCACAATTCACTTCGGCTGCAGCGTAGCACAAGGCAGCCTCTGCTACGGCGGCCTACTAAATGTTCCTAGTTCCAGTGCGTGCTTCTGCTAGCAGCGGAAATAAAGGTGCGGGAGAGCGCTTGTGGGCGCTAGAGCCTCCACTGGAGACGCGCCTGGAAATCCCACCAGTTTGCAGCGCACGGGCTGCTGAAGAGTTTAAGCTCCGGCGGGTTAGTCAGCGAGGCGAGCCCAAGATCTTGCCTTTCAGATGGAGATTTTATGCACAAAAAGGGTCAACAGGCGAAAGAAATTCGCTTGGATGAGAGAGAATTTTTCACAGGATCAGATTACTCTAGTGACCAACCAAGTAGGCAACGTATCAACATAGGAGAAGGGAAGAAAAAACAAGGGATCACAGCGCCTTTATGCGTGCACTAGCATGTACCCACTGCTGCCAGCTCACTCACACACACCTCTTCAAGCACGTCACAGATGCCCAACCGCAAAGCCCGAAGCGAGAAAGATAAGGACGAAGAATAAAAAAAAAAGAGAGAGAGAAAATACACAGAAAAAAAGAAAAAGCACAGGGCATGTGCTTATCTAGACTTGGTAGAAGCCTTATTATATATAGTACTAAGCTTCTTTCTAATACCAAACAGCGGCGTGAAAGACGAAAGGGGAACCGCGAAAATGCGGTGTCGAGTCCACCACAGCCTCGTGTGGCGCAACACTAGCTCAGCCTCACCTCGACTCGAGCGCCAGTAGATCTCTCTCCAGCTACATATCCTATCTTGGACTTTTTTTTTTTTCTTACGACAAAGCTGCCAGCAGTAATCTTATCCGTCTTGCATAATACAGGACAAATTCCTCTTTTTTTTTTCTTGCTTATTTATTACTTTTTGGGGAATTGCATCCGTTTTCATATCGCCTCCGAGCTGGACTCACATCACATGCCTGGCTCTTCATACCCAGTAATATCCACATCATAGAGTCTCGCCACTCTCGGCTTTCCATCACTCAAGGGAGCTTTCAACTTCACAACTCCCTCAACTCAGCACCAATCCTTCTCTCTGCATCTTCTCTGCATCTTCTCGGAATCGCCGCGACCGAGAGCTCACCATGTTCTGCCTTCGAAGGTTCGTCTCCCAAACCATCAATCTCAACGCCAATCCATCCCTTTGTTCTCTCTCTCTTTATACATCACTAACAAACGCAACCCAACAGTTGGCTCCCGCTCCTCTTCATCCCAACAAACGCCTCGCCCGCCTTCATCCTCCTCTTCTTCATCTGCACCTACTTCCTCAACCGCCCCTGCGTCTACTGCTCCGTCCTCCTGCTCATCCTCTTCCTCACCTCGTGCAACTGGTCCGACCGCTGCTTCTTCGACCTCGGCAGCAACTGGTTCCAGCCCCGGCCGACCGCCTCCGCGCCGTTCCTCCAAGACGACGAAACCACCAGCGGCAGCAGCGCCTTCAACGAAACCGTCGTCGACATGCTCAATTCCACCGCAACGGCCGCCGCCCGCGCCGCCGCCGAGGAGATTGCCGTGCTGAGGAACGAGTGGACGGGCGTGGGCTTCGAGTGGCTGCGCAACATGCTGGGCAAGCGGGAATGGAGGGTCGACTGCATGGATATATATATCAGGCTGTAATGGGGATGATGTTTTGATGATGACGAATAGCGATGGTGGCAGCGATAAACAGAGCGCCGAGGTTGGAATTATGAACATACGAAATACTTTTTATTTTAATTGATGACCTTGGGCGTTGGGCAGAAAAAGTTTGAGAAGAAAGAAGGGGCTATAGATTCTTTCGTTACGCCAGCGCAGGGATATGAACATACGGGCTACAGCATTTTGTCTATTATCTTTATTATCTTTAATTGCCTTCTTGCTGCTGTAATAATACACGAACGGCATCCATCATCCAGGTACCATTGTGCGCATGTGCCCCCAGCTTGGCGACGGGTACCTACTACAGTAATCGCTCGGGATGACACTTTTGTCATACAGTTGACGTAGCCGCCGCGGCTAGTGGACCCCGTAGCATCAGCATCTTCAGCGTCGAGCCATAAAGCCAATGCCTGTGAAACATGCATGAATTAATCAGCCTCGATGTTTTAAAGTGCAAACATGATTAGCTGCTCTTAATGCCAAGACAGGGAATTTATATATGCATCAAAAGAAGTCTATTCACTGCTTCATTTTACTCTATATAGCTACCTAGGTAGATAGACACCAGGTATCATGGGCTTTGCGCAAATAAATCAACCACCAATTGGGATCTAAACGCGAAAGCAATATCCAAAAACTTCCATTATACAACAATCATCCAACGTTCCAGCCTCATTACAAGTACGCGCCTCTCTCCAGCTAACTACAGGATTTTCCACTTCCCAAAATAAACATAATCGTATTCGTCGCGGCATATTTCCATCTTTCCAGCTCATTGCGTACATACTTGCATCATTGGTATTCTTCATCACTCGCTGGTCAAAATAGCAGGAAGAGAGCGGCAAGAAAGAGAAAAGGGAGAAATAGAAGCAGAAGAAAATAAAAGAAGAAGTAAATTACCCAAAGAAGTTGAATGGAGAGCCCCAATTCCAGCTTGAATGTCCTTGCCCATGCATATCCTCCTCGTCCTCGGCATAGTTCTCACCCAGAGTGAGCGTGTCTCCTGCAAGCATCTTGTCCACAATAGCCTCGTCATCGTCTTCAGAAAAGTCTGAATCCACGAGCGGCATGTCGGTTCGTGCCACAGTGCTCATCTCGGTGACCGTAGCAGTCATCCACTTCTCGACGGTCTGTGGCTCCACGGCAGGGCAAGGGTTCTCTCCGTCAACATTGTCCTGGGGCGTGAAGAGGATGTCATCCACGGGCGTGGTTCCATCCTCAGCTCCGGCCTCTCCCTCCAGCTCTATTGCCTCTCCTTCCCCATCCCTCAAGACTGCAGTCGGCACCTCAGAGTCGGTAACGACCGGCTGGAAGGAAACAACGTCGTCAAGTGGGTTGCTAATGCCACCACGAAGCGCAACCACCACGGTCAGGGCGCTCAGGAGGAGGATAGCGAGGTTTCTCTTGTCATCCAGCAGCGCCTTGAAGGCGTTGACAACCATGTCGGGAAAGCTTCCCGCCTTGAAGCGCCGCTGTTGCTTGCCAGAAGATTCGTCTTGGGGAGCGAATCCCGTCGATGACCGGCCGCCCATAGAATTCTTGGCCGAATGCTGGCGATATTTGCTCGAGGAATTCGTGCCGTATGAGGTCTGTCGGCGATGCGTCTTTTCGTCTTGTCCCATGAAGGACTCGTCGCCCTCATTCATTGTCTCGTCGCGAACATGGTCATCAAACTCGTCCTCCCGCTCATCCTCAACATCCTGAATGCGAGACGAGATGGGTCGTCGGCCTGCTCGGCTCTTTGAGTGAATGACTCTGTCCTGGCGCGCGGCAATGTGGACGAGCTCGTCCTGAAGCTTGGCGTCCATCATGGGCTCCAGCTCAATGTCGACCCGCTCCATCTCCTTCCAGCAGGCCTCCCACGCACCAGCCCTCATCAGGCCGTTGCTAGCGTAGACCTTGACACGATAAATCTTGCCGGCTCCGAGGGCGTCGACGGGAATCTCAGAAGAGCAGGTGGTGCACCAGTGCGTCGGCTTCTTGTCATTGCTGGAGAGCATCTCTCCGTCCTCGTCAAAAGCATCGTCGTCATCGCTGTCGTGTTCATCAGCAAAGGGCATCTCGTTAGAAGGGCCGAGATAATGGCCGCATTCCAGGATGCGGGCTCGTCGCTTAAAGGGAAGCTCCAGAGCCTCCAGCAGGCGCTCCTCCATGACCTCAAAGTCGTTTTGAGGATGGGGCAGGAGGACACCGCGGTCCTGGATGGTGTCGCCGATGGTGTCCTGCAGCTCTCGCCAGGCCTCCCGCAGCGTCTTGACGCCCTCGCTCAGCTCGCTGGTCTTGGCCTCGTCCAGGACTTCGCCCCACGGCCATCGCAGCGGCAGCAAAGTGACGTGCAGGAGCACCAGCGGCGGGTCGTTCTTCTTCAGGCGCGGCGGCGTCTTCTTGGGCGAGTACTGCGGCGGCTGGCTGATGCCCGGCGAGCCAATGCGCGAGACGGTGGGCAGGGCGCTGCGACGGCCGGAGCGAGGCTGGCCCGAGACGGACGGCGCCGGCGAGTTCATCTGCGTCGTCTTGACGGACGAGGCAGACCGGAAGGCCGACGGCCGCGGAGCCCCCTTGGCGGGCACAAAGTCGGCCTCGGGCTCGTACTGGATGTCGGAGATGCGCGGCGACCTGGCGTCGTTCTTGCGCGGCGCGTCCTCGGACACGGAGCCCATGGAGCTGCGCGGGCTGTTGTCGCTGAAGACGTCGTCCTCGTGGTCGTTGTCGTGGTGCGAGCTGGCGTCGCCGTCGACGTGGGACATGTCGGCCTCGTCGTCGTTGTCGTCGTAGCGGTGCAGGACGCTCTCGTCTACGTCTTCGTAGCGGTATTCGTCTTCCATGCTAGGGCCACTGCAGGCTGGGTCGTTGTGGATGTCAAAGTCGGGACCCTGTGCCCTCGACTGCCGGGGCATGAGGGGGGTCGAGTGAGGACAGCTTAAAAGAGCGAGCCGGATTCGCTCTCAGGCTGGTTGGCTGATTATGGAGGTGTGATTGAATTCGCTTAACCCAACAAAACGGACGCCCACAACGCTGGACTGGAATAACAAACGGTGCGATGTACAGTACAAGTGAATGTATATGATATAATCTGGACAAAGGCTGCAAGCGGAAGAAGGAAAAAGGAAAAATACCACAGGGGAAATAGCACAGGCGGCATCAGAGATTCCCCAGCAGAGGTGAGATGTGATAGTAGCAGCAGTCAAATATGGAGGGGCTGCAGTGCGTGCAGATGTGGCTTCGCTTGGTTGGCCCAGCCTCCTGCAGCGGCCCAGTTGGGATATTTGTTTACCGCGGTTGCCCTGCCAATGCGCTGCGGGCCGCCCCATCGCGGGGCTTGATTGGCGGACACGCCACTAGCGACCAGCCCCTGGAGCCTGTAGACGCCCAAGAGCGGCGTTTTTCCTGTCAATTGAGTGATTGAACGATTGATTGACTGATTGAATGGATGGGACAGACAAGAAGCACGGAATATCCGAGTGCAGCCGAGTTACTACGCGCCAATTGAGTCTTTTCTCGTCAACATCAACACCAGGACGACCAACATCAACATCAACATCAACATCATGTGCTTGCGGCCTGAAGCGATCCGATGGATGCCTTACGTTGATGTTGCATGCACACACACACAATTTAGCGATGCTTCTCCCCTGTCACCGGCCCACAATTCCAGTTGTCCCAGCCAAGCCGGCCAGGGGGCATGAGACGGGCGATTGGCGGTTGGTAGGTGGCAGAAGCAGCGAGTTTATTGTTTACTGCGACAACGGCAGCGTCAGTTTGAAGAGCCAAGAGCGGTTAACCTGAAGACCTTGGCGGTTGATTCATCCTTTGCTCCGGACAAGAAGCTGTTGATCAATCAGGAGCAAGGAGAACTGTCGCAACTAGCTCGATACAAGCACATTTCATACAATATGCCACTGCTTGCAGTGTGGCAAAAGCGGGAAAAAAAGTCCCAACGCGTATGCTCCTCTCTCACCGCCAAATCAATCGGGCTACTGCTCTCCATCTTACATAAGGCAGCCAAGACTCATGTGCCATAGAGTTGACAGTGACAGCGGTATGAGCTCAATGATTCTGGTAGCAGTACCTATATGAGTTTCAACGTATGTTGACAGCGCTGAGCTCAACTCGACTAGGATGAACCTTGACGGCACCTCCCGCCCTGTCAATCAATAAAGGTGTAGAGTAGTCACACGACAATTCCTAGGTGCTATTACTGCTGCCCCTCCACGTCTTCTAGAAGATGAAGATGATAGTAGCACTCTGTAGGTTGAAAGTTTATTTTAAGCCAAGACATCTTCAACAAGGCCCTGCATATTGTGACACTTGAGACACCAACGCCACAACTCGCAGTAGTGCAAAGCTTCCCGGGAGCTATCAATCCCGGTTCGAAGATTTATAACACGTTAACCAAATTTATCTATTATCAAAATATTTTACATCCTTCATTTTCATTTTCATACCCCAAAGAAGAAAAAGATACCTATTCACCTGGCCCGCTCATATACAATACATATAGATATACACAAACTTGTGACTATTATACACGCGACTCATCAACTCAACAGCTTATTTCAGCTCATTCGCAATGTTCTGCAACAGATTCACGCCGCCAAGCTTATTCTGCGTATACCGAGCGTTGAATTTGATCACGTCCTTGACTTTGCCATAAGTAGCCGTATCAATCTGCAGAGGCTGGGCGCTGATGTACCAATCAACGCCCTCAGTGCAAGGAGGAGTGGTCAGTGAGCCAGAGTAGCTATTTTCAACCAAAGTCAGCTTCAAGTTTTGCAGTTTTCTATTCCCCAGGCTTCCGACTCACGTGAAGATGGCGTTGGATTTGAGATGGTTCTCCAGCGCGGCAAACAGGAGAGGCCCAGTCAGGGTAGTTTCACCAGGCGTGGCAATCTCGTTGACGTTCTGAAAGACTGAGGACAGCAGGAGGTTGGGCACACCGAAATCGACCAGGAAAGATACAACAGCAGTAGACTTGTCTATTCACACGCATGCTGTCATTAGCCCAAGATCTTGGTATAAGGCCTAGAAGAGTATCGCATGTCCGGATTACAAGGTGCATCTCATTCACTCACCAGGGGTCGAAAACACAAAGTGTATTTCCATAGGATGGTACTCAGAGTCGATCCGGTGCTCGCTAGGAGTATGGAAGTGAAACTGCGCCAGCTTGTAGTCCTTGCCGCCGGCCTTGAGCGTTCCGTTGACGGGCACCTCAACCGTGCTGCCCAGGTTCTCAAACTCGGCTCCAAAAGGGTACGACTCCACGGTGAAGGAGATGGAATCGCCATGGGCCGTGGCGATGGAAGAGTCCAGCACAATGGGCGACTGGTGCTGGCCGGTGGCGCAGAGCTCGTTGGCAGTCTTGTTGAGGCTGTACCAGTTCAGAGGGCCGATGAGGTCGTTGTAGCCAAAAGTGCTGACGGGCACGGTATGCTCTCGGGGATAGAGATGGGTTCCGTAGTCACAGGAAGCAAATGCCGGGGCGACCAGCGCCAGGGCACAAACCGTGAACTGAGTAAACCGAGTCATCTTTGCGGATTTAATGAGAGACAAATATTCGAGTTTGGGATGAACAGTTTTTGAAGAGACCAGCTGCCGGCGAAATCAACAAAATGGGCGGGTTGAGGCCTCTAGATGTAGCTCCGCCAAGAATAGGGGATGAGCTTATAAAACTCTTACAATCTCGGATGCGACCCTCATTCAACCCCCGGGCATTCCCTCAGCCTCCCCCGTCGTTGTCATCCTCGGCACTTGCAGTTCTTCGTATGTCTCATCTCGAAGCTTAACCCCCAGAATAGGCCTCCTCATCGCGGGCGTCTCAGGCGAATGCCGAGCCCAGAAAATTGCAAAAGTTGGGCTTCCCACTGGTTTTCTGCGCGACTTACACTTATAGCGCGCTGCTAGGCATGCTTACCATGGACTGAATCGGTAATAAGCCATGAAAGTCCCACTAGATTAGACCCAAGGCAGTCAGCTTAGAATTTGGCAATCTTCAATTTACCATTTACATCGCAACAGATGAATCGGCTATCTGTGCCGTGTGGCTCACTTTCGACTTCAGTTCCCAGACATCGTGGGCGTTCGGGAGGCTCGGGTTAACCTTCAAATGGAATAGCCAGCTCGTCCACTGCGGTGGAGCTTTAGCTAGAAGGTCGAGACCTTTGAGTTGTTGAGCTCGCTTGATTTCCATAGAGCAAATCTCTCTTTGCCTTACACTTTTGAAGTCTCTTTTCCCTTTCTGTCTTTTCTGGGGAGCGCATAACATGTCTCAGGTTCTCCGATAAGGTGTGCATGGGTATTAAGCTTAACCGCCATAGTGGAAAAGACCCTTACAAAAGTCGGGTTCAAAACCATTTGCGTGTCAGGTTGATTGCCGTGACTCGACGCCCAGAAAACGGTCTTGTAAATCCGGGGCGGCGGTAGTTGTAGATCCGCGGGCTTATAATTGAGCTCCCGGGTGCCAACAATATGCGGTTCTAGTTTACAAGTATTTTAATTACTGACAGCGTTTAATTAGCGAGTACCGTTCTTTCTATTTACAGCACGGAATATGAATGAAGAGGATTCAAAGACTGCGTCACATTATGCTTTGTGCCAAGCATTCTTCAAATTTGTAGACATGCTTCTCAAACCTTGGCATATCTACTAGTAGATCCACTACAACAAGCGCATAATATGACCTATTAGATATGGAATGCAAGATGGAGCGCTACTTGGAGGAAAAGATAGGTAAGCATGAGTAAGAAAGATATTGAGTTATTGGGCTAGCCGAGGAGAGCTGCCAAAGCCAAACGCCAGTTTCTATAGAAGCTAGTATAGAATGCTCTTCGAGTTATTCTTAACAAACTAACAGCATTATCACGCAGTGATGAAAAAGTCTCCTGTGAAATATTGAGTATTAAGATGACACAACATAACTCGATTAATCTAGTTTATTCCGGCTCATTTGAACAGTGTAAAAACGTACTTTAGAGCATATAGATGTAAACAACCGCAGAGTGTTGCTCAATCACTAGTTTCGGCTATTGGAAAAACTACATGCCAATCTAACGCTCTGCGGGGTTTTCTTTTCTAACAATATCGAATAACAAGGGTCTCATAGAAATGTATAACAGTCTGCTTACTCTGCCTACACGGATTAGACATGAGGTGCAAGCCCACGAGAAGATTTGTAGGCATTAAGTTTAGGATATTATCTTAATTGACAACTAGTAAAAGCTGTGTTAGTATCAATTTGAACTGTCGGCTCTTTTACTATTACTAGGTACATATAACTTATAATTCTGATACCTTTAATAAATTTCTCGGAATATGTCTCAATGCCTTGACATTAGGTGTACAGGCCCAACTAAACTACATCTACGCTTTCTAAGACTCGAGTTCTTTTCGGCCGAAATAGACTTCATTTTGATACAAGAAGTACAAAACTATATTTCCGACCTAAATCAATATTCCGTCTTTAGCATAAGATGAAACTGAATAAAGGCATATTGAGAGTAATCTGCTTAGCTTCAACACAAGCCATTGTGGCAATTAAAGGCTCGTCAAACAGCACTCAAGGTATATTCCGTCGACAGAAAGCAGAATTTGTCAGTAGAAAGTAGATTTTATTGATAGAAACGTAATCTCGGCGAAAAGCAGATTTCATCCACGAAACAACAAATCTTGTCGACAAAGAAGCAGATTCCATTCGCAAATAAACGGATTTCTTCGACAAATAAACGGGTCTCGTCAACAATTCAACAGATTTCATCGATAGATGCGAGTCATCTCAGCATACATGCAAGCTCAATGTAGTGGGTTCCAGAGCAATGCCATTTAGTTTCAGCGCTTTTGATGACACTCAGAAGCAGCATCAGTAGGACTGGGATCTTGACATTAGATTACTCGCTAAGGTATGCTATTATGTACATGTATTCATGACTTTTTGCATCCTTTCATACATATACTCTATCATGTTCATCATCACATTGTCAGCTAGGCCCAAGCACATAGCTAGCATTCAAGTGCCGGCCTCTGAGTGCTAGATCTTTCACTCTATCGAAAGCCCCGTTTTGTAAACAGTCCTCTCTGCCCATTGCTTCTTGCTGCCCGCCACCTATAGTTCGCAGTAGTTCTGGGTAACGGTGACAATCTCAGTCTTTGTAGGCGTGTGAGCGGTGACGGTGGTAGCAGTGATGCCCCAGCAAGAGCAAGCAGAGGAGTATCGCTTAGCACCGTCGCAAGAGGAGGCATAAGCTGGGACAGCTGTAGGATAGACTGTGGCGGCGGCGTAGTTGACATCGTTCTTGGGCTTGGGAGTGATATCGGGATGGACAGTAATGGTGATGGTGGTGGTTCTTCACGTTTCGTTAGCAACAGTATACCAACACTATATAGTGCTTTTGTTATATAGCACATATAGCTTGAGGCTATGAGCGAGTACGTACGTAGCCTCCGGAGTGACAGTGGCTCGCATAAAGCTGGAGCAGTCGGCCTTGCGAGAGGAAATAGGGGCCAGGCCCTCGCGAGTGCCAGTGACGGCACGAGCGCAGTTGTCGGCATTGCAACCGTTGGTACGCTCAATAACGCTAGCCATGGCGGCAGCAGCCAAAGACAGGACAATGGAAGCCTTCATATTTGCGATATTAGACGATGATGGTTGATAAGAGATGGTAGAGACTTGAGTTGCGATCCGTGAAAGTGGATGATGATTGGCCAACACAGGAATACAGAGAAAGGGACAAGACAAAGACAAAGAGCGCCACACAGCTCCTATATAGCAAACGGGGGGCCGTATAGAAGAGAGATTCGGCTCGGGCCCGAATTCGAATTGGACCGACAGGCAGCCGCTTTGGGGATTCCCAATGAACTAGAGCAGCGTATTTCATTCTTACAGGCCTTCATCGGCGCTACCAGCCGCATCCAAAAGCATGGCTTCCCTGCCACTTCAGCTCCATCCCGGAAACTAGCAGAGGTTCCCGAGGGCCAGCTCTGAAAAAGCCTCGTGGCTGATATCTCTCCACCTATCGGGGCCTCTCCGTCTCCCATGAGGCGGGAATAATCTGGGGCTGACTTGTCAAGCAGTCCATTTCTGGGGCGAGTTGTGACTTGTCCGAGCTGACTGCTCTCACCTTTACAGGCATAGAAGTACAGAAGGTTGTAAAGGTGCAAATCCCTTGGTGGCCGTGTTAGGAGAACTAGAAGAGGGTGCATTTGCTGATAGATGGACCAGGTTCTCGGTCCCCTGCGTACCAAGAAACCAACCCTGGCTAATATTGGCATTAGTACGCACTCTATGGCGATGCAGCTGCAGAATCCCGTCAACATCAGTAGATGGCTCCAGTCCGCTATCCGTGCGATCCGTTGGCACGACGCAGGGCCATGGCAACTCCCAATTTCAACCAGGTAGAGCAGGAATTCCCTACTCAGAGGTGCATACTCCTGATTCCACTCACTGGTGATTATGCTTGACCAAACACGATGGTTTGCTTTACCCAGAGCTGCGAACCAGGCCAAGGAAGGAATCGTATTTCCCCGGGTACAAGCCTATTCATCTCAGCCGCAGCGTCAGATCCTACAAGACCCTAATCCCGCAATTTCTTGGCGCCGGCTAAAACTCTGCAAACAAACACTTCGAGTCCTTTGTTTATATTTTGGGAGCACAGAAAGTGAGCATTGTCATGATCCCGATGTCCAAATGCAGGAGCCGATATTCCGTGTCAAGGAGGGCTTAATCGAAGACTGGGTAAAATGAAAAAACCACTCACCCATAGGTAACAAGTCCAGCCAGTACGAGCACAAGTCCCTACACGTAGCCACTAGCAGCATCGCCGGAATGTCTCCAGAACAAGGGATCAGAGGCCAAAGTCCAGATGCCAAGATGCAAGCTCAGGTCGGCCTCATGCCGTCATCAATTGGCGTGGCCTGATGAAGAAATCGGCGCAAAGGCCTCTGCTCTAGCGGTCTCTAGCGGGGGGCCTACGCTGCAGGTACTGGGACGCTAACAGCACAGCGCTGTAATACCCGCTATGGCCGGTTTGACAGGTGCCTCTATTGGACGATGCGTGTGCTGGGGTATCGAGCGCAATTTGTCGGATGGAGCCCGAGGTGCATGAAGCTGAAGAATCAAGTCCGCAGTGGACAAGGAATGGACAACCGGGAAGAAGAGAACAAGTAAACAAGTAAAAGGTTCCTTACCAAGCCAGCCAGGGGATGGAAATCTACAGCTCTGGACGCCAAATAAAGTGCATCTCTCTTATAATAGCATCCACGTGGCAGCCCTTGCCAGAGGAGTTTGTAGTTATACCTTTTCGGAAAACACTTTTTCTAATATTTGTATTACTCAACAGGAAAGAGTATACATGTCCGCTCAGTCATCTCATATTCAGGCATTCGAATAGGTGTGAACCAACGGTGAGGATAATAGAGCCATTCTAGTATAGAACAGAACATTGAAGTCTTGCTTTTTCACATACATGTTATAATCTGGCGGCACCAAGGCTCTAACTTGAGGCTTAGAAGGATCTATAGCATTTGCTCAAGTTTAGGGGTATCCGTATGATACAGCTCCAAGCTGAGAGGCACACTCGAAAATCTGTGTCGCCCTATTCGATGGAACGCGCGCTCAGCAAACCCGAGCCTTAATTGAGGGTACGTGCACATAATAACGCAACTTCATCACCGCTTTGTGCATCGATTTCTTCTAACAGCAGGTATTGAAAGTCATTTTACATATCGAGAACTTCTACTTCATGGTCGGATCACCTGTTGGTTCTCTGACCAAGTCACATCTTAGAGTGGAACTCGGATCCAGAAGCATGTTCTGACCTTCGGCAGTACCCGAGCCGAATCGGGCAATCATCACGCCCATCGATCGCTGGGACCCAGCAGCTCCAGTAGTTTGGTGATTGGCGAGAAAATAAAAGAAGAGAAAATCCTATGAACCAACGACAAACAGCAAAATTGTACCGCAAAAAAGAAAGACCAAAGAGAAGAATAGACGGAACTGTCAAATGTAATCTTTAATTACCCATCCCATTCCGGAATAGGCAAAAAAGAATTTGCTTGACCGAGACAGGGGTCGAACCTGCAACCTCCTGATGTACTAAATCGTAGTCAGACGCTCTGCCATTGAGCCACACGGCCGATTTGATGGGAGACGGCCGTTGGTATTCATCTCAAGAACTCGATTCCAAGCATTGAGCTTCTCTATTCGGCGGTTTTGCCGCTATGAGAAGACCATATACATGTCTTGTGTTATAATCCTCATCTCCTAGAACGTGCAGGGTAAATGCAGTCTCTCTTGGCAAGCTGCAGCGCTAATGGGGCGAGCGAATGACTGGCTTAGCCGAGACTGCATGCTTACCCGGCGGTGTTTTGTAAACGGGTACTGGTGAATTCTCGGCTGTCTTTAATGTCTACTTCTGCCTGAAATAAACAAGCAGGTATAACTGTAATAAGCTTATGATAACTACCCGCTGGCTTGTTATGTTAGACGCTCCCTCGCATGGCTAATAGGCTTTATATTAAAGCTGTGAGTTGGTATAGTGTTTAGTACTTTATTCTATTACCTTGAGCAAATCCACGCTACCTCTTCTTCTCTAGGGTATTATCGCGAACCGTTTTAGAAAACAATATAGAGCATATTGCATCTTACTCCATACATCTTCAAACTAGTATATTGACAAGCGTAAAAGAAAAGAACAAAAGGAAAAAAAAATATATAAAATACACGGCCTTATGTATTAATTCCTCATACTTCTAAAAATTGCTTCCCTCTCCATACTTACTAGACGGATGAAGAACGTTTCCAGCTAAATTCAAAACACAACATTCTTCACACCAGTCCAGCAGATATGGACAGGAGGCAGTTTTCAGAAGAAGCAAAAAATTGACCGAGACAGGGGTCGAACCTGCAACCTCCTGATTTACTTAATCGTAGTCAGACGCTCTGCCATTGAGCCACACGGCCTATTTCATGTCTATCGGCAAGCTTATTCCAAATCAGGAAGCCTGCACTTGTTTGCCCCACAGCCATCCTCTCGTGTCATTTCACTCGTCCTCAGCATATCTCATGGGGGAAATGGTAAATGTGAGACAATTAGGAAAGTGTAAGATTAAGATTATCTATTACATTCTATATGCTATATTTTAAATAAATGTCAATGTTATCCCACTACGCCTGCCGTGTATCATATATGCAAGCACTTGGCTAGTATGAAATCAATATGTGCCTCGCCGTCTCATGCAGAATAACGCCGTATCCAAATCCAATGCAGTTTTAAAACAAACGCTCAAACCTCTCCTTTGAGTTCCTCCTCTATGAGCTGGAAATCCATATGCTGGGTATGTTATAGGGAAAAAGTTGAAAAAGCTAGTGGTATCATAAACGTCAATTGCTCCCCTCCCTGATGTGACCATTCCGTGGGTAGGTTATACCAAGTCCAGTTCGTCCTGCCATATGTCCCCTAGCTCCGTAGAACCCATGCCATTCCTCGTCGTCATCATCGAGGCTAAAGTGCTCAGGAGAGGCATTCTCCGACTGCCTCAACAGCAACACGCTCTTCATCCATTGGTCTTTAAGAGGCGGCCTAACAGCAAACCACGGGAGATCGCTTGGAGGAACGTCTCGCGCATAGTGTATGAGTGAATCTGCTGCCAGGCTTTCTGCGGACGATATTCCGGCCAATTCTTGCGCAAGTGAGCACGCTTCAAGTTCTGAGGATATGGCGCTGACTGGAGATGGCGAGCTCAGTAGCCTCGGGGAAATAGCATTGATCGGTGCAGGCGATACAATTGCAGTACGTGCCGGATTTGGAGCCGGGACTGGGCGGCGATTGATGACAGGCCGAGACAATGTTTGGAGGGGTATATCGGTTGAACGATCTTGTCTCTCTTGGGCTCGTTCGCCCCTGGGGTTGCCGGCTGCAGCAATGTACAGGCCGTTGCGACGCTGGTTGTTACGGCGAGCTGTGGATTTGGGTTTCCGACGAGCTTGTGAGCGCCGTAACGATGAGCGCTGCATTAACTCAATAGCAGAATCCTCTCGTGAATTCCTGCTATCAGTATCTGACGACGACACGCTGATTGGCTTGCTTCTTAATCTCCTTGTGCTGGTAGACTTGGACGACCTCGGTATCCTGGCTATCTGATCAGCCAGCCTGTCAATGTGCCGGATCAAGACACAAGCCACAGCAACCACCAATGCAAGGAATGCAGCAGCTCCTCCGATTATGCCGCCCAACTGTGTCGACGAAAGGCTATCCTGGCTGTCGCTGCCACTGCTATCCGCCGCAGCTGCTGAGGATGCAGTTTCCTGCGTGGAGGTGGTGGAAGTGCCGGTTTCGGCTGCTTGGTTGGCGTCATCGCCATTCACTCGACCCCTCAACCTGCCAAGACGAGTTGCAATATCTGGATTTCTGGCGTTGATGGTTATTGTTGAGAATGTGGCTGTAGTAATAGCCGTTTTTATTGTCGCCGCGGCCGGCTGTGTAGATTGAAGTGATTTCGTCACACGATGGACTCCGTCATATCGTCCAAAGTCCAAAGCGCCCACAACTGTGCCAAAGAGGCTCCCAAGCAGCAATACGCTGTACAAGATTGGCGCAGAAGCAAGCATCGTGACGAATGGTAGCCGTAAACGACTACCTGGAGCGGGCCAGTGTGGGGAGTTGAAGGAAGATTTCGTTGCTCATTCGGGTTGAGAAGAGAGGTC